CTCAGAGAAAGACTTTGTTTCTTCTAGGGTAGCTTTATGCAATAGAGACATGACAGCCACATGTGTGATTTTTCTAGAAGCCACATTAAAAAAGTTAAGAGATGATAGAATTAATTTTAATAATATATTTAACTTTACCCAATATATTAAAAATATTATCTCAAACTGTAATCAGTGTAAAAATGGGTTATTTTTATTCTTTATAAACCTAGTTTTATAGCCCAGTAGGTGGCATCTGCCTATAATCTCAACATTCTAGAGATTGAGGCAGGAAGATTGTGAATTCAAGGCCAGTCAAGGCTACATAAGGAGATGCTGGCTCACAAAAACCCAAAAACATTATTTTTACTAGGTCTTCAAAAATCTGGTGTATATTTTATAGTTAGAGCACATTTGAATTTTGAATAGCCACAATTCAAGTGCTCAGTAGTCACATATGGCAATAGCTACCATATTGGACAGGGCAGTTACAGACATTCTGCTCTCTTTCACTGTTTTGAAACAACCTTGCTTGTTCCTCCCACTTCTTTCTCTCTTCTGAGCCTCCTTTGGTTTTTAGGACTTCACCTTTGTCTGGTTTCTCTTTTTACCCTGTACTTTCTCCTGATCCAACTTACATGTTTGATGGATGCTGAGGCAAAGTCATATCTATGCCTCCCACCTCTCAGCTAAACTTCCAGCTGGTATAGGCATCTTTGCAGATGTCCAAAGCTTGATGTGCCAATACTGAAGTCATCATCTTCCCTTGGAAACTTTCTTCTCATGGTACCATCACCTACCCAGATGCCTGGGCCAGAAAACTGGTTTTCCACTATTTTTCCTTCTTCATGCCCTACAAACCAGTTAATTACAAAGTGAGGGGAAGCCTGTTTCACCAGAATTTGCCTGCTTCCTTTGCCTCAACCATCGTTCTACTAAAGTTCTCCATTGTTCCTCCCTTGGATTTTTGCAGTGGCCTCTTTAATAATCTGTCCAGCTTTACTTAGTTCTTCCACTCCATTCTCTATGACTCAAGTCTTTCATCATTGCTTGGCAGCACTTGAACTTGAGCTATGTCTCCAGTTTTTATATACCCTTCAAAAAAAACAAAAGTCTTTTTCATAGGCTTCAGTAGAAAGTATTTTCAAGATGCCAGACTTTTTCAGGCCATTCCATGATTCTCCTGTCTGACTCCATTACCTCCTCTTTACCACTGAGAGGATATGCAGATGGTTCTAAAAGACATATGAATACACATGGAGACTTTCCTGAATCTGGACTTACCCTAGACCAACAGATGATCCTAATCCATGTCTTTGTCTCTCTCTCTCTCTCTCTCTCTCTCTCTCTCTCACATATATACACACACACACACACACACACGCACACAAACATACATTACACACACATACACACACTTTGAAAATCTGATTGAAACATGCTTCCTTTCCTACACAGGTGCAAACACAATTTTGTAGTGTCAGATGAGTTCATTGAATCCCAGAAGCCCATCCACAGGATGATTTTCTGGGAGAACAATTCTGTTTTCCCACCTAACAGCAGGATCTAAGGTTATCTGGATTTCCCAAGACATTTTGAAAACTCTTGGAGCATTTTATGACACATTTTAGTATCAGAACAAAGTTATAGTTTCTCTAGGAATACTTTGAATATTGAACCATCATCTAAGTAAAAACAATTTCATACTTGATTTTGTGTCTAACCGAATCTGAGTTTCCCCATTCCCACACCCCTTTGTTTCTCATAGGCTCTCCAGCCTTGCTTCCCATTGGCTTTCACTGTGGCTCATCCTGGGTTGCATGTTATCACAGCTTTCTTGAGAACTTTGGCTCAGGACTCCAGGACTCCTGTCCATCTTGGGTCACTGTGTGCTCTGCTTCTTGCTTTGTTCTACCAGTCCAGTGCCTTGGGGAGGGGATAAGGAAGTGGGAGAGAATAGTAGAGCATTCGCTACCCTTAGTGGCCTTGCTGGGGTGACAAGTGTCAGGGTAACACCGCACACATGAGCAAGTCTCAGCTTTCTCTTCAATAGCCTGGCTTCAGGACAGTGGGATTGCAGCTGGGATTGGTCTTCCCATGGCCCTGCACTGCCCACAGAATATGCCACGAGGTAGTGGCTCTTCCCATAGACATGGGTGGATCTTCAAATCTGTGCCCTGCGTCAGTACTGGGCCTAAGAGCAAGATTGCCTCATTCTTCAACTCCATTTCACAGGCCACCTTCACCGTCTGCTTGCAGAGCTTCTTTCCTGCTCTCTCTGGGCTCAGTCCTGTCCAGCACCCTCTCTCAGCATTTGTTTGCTGTCTCACCAGGATCCCTTATTAAATTTCTTATCCAATGGAAGCTCTCTTCCCTCCTTGTTTCCCTGAGTCTCTTGAATGTCCCATTTCCTTGTGTCTCTGTGCCTCCCACCCTGCAGGCCCTGCATCTTCCCAGCTCTTAACCTTGTTGTCACTTGCAACTCCCAGTAGCTCTCACTCTCTTCCTAGCTCTACCATCCTGGGCCTAACAGGAACAACCAACTCTAAAGAGTTTATTGGACTGAAAAGTGAGTGAGTGCCCTCGCACCCTCTGCTCTGTTCCACCACAGCAGAGCTTTTCAGACTCACATTTCCAATGATATCTAAATCTGGAAGGATTTAGATCTGCTGAAAAATGCTAAACCTCCTGTGTTTAGCTGTGTTTGAAATTTTTGGCAGCTCCTCCTACGTCTGATGTTACGAACACTGTTTTCAGATGCTTGGAAAGAAGCCTTTAATACTTCTATTGTGTTTTAACTTGCTTTCCTTTGGAGGCAGGGAATTGTCAAGTAAGTATCCACAGCACTCTGGAAAAGCATAGGTGCTGGGTGAATATCTAGTACTGAGTGGTCATGCAGAATCCACAAGCGTGAAGGGTCAATACTTAAAATCTGCTGAATTTGCCACAATGCAGGTTTCCTCCCCTTGCTCCTCTCATCTTCAGTTTTGAAGCAACACAGCTATAAACATATGCTTGTGAAATAAGAAAGAAACATTCTGAGATTGCTTTACTTTTCAGTTTTTTTGTACTGAAAATCAAGGTGAAAAAAAAGCATTGGATTGCCTTTTGTGTGTATATATATACAATCTCATGTATATATAGCTACACAGTGTTTGTGCTTGTATGTATACTCTCTCTACACTGTATAATATGTTGTATATTATACAACCTGTGTGTACCCTCGAACTGACCCCTGTGTTGAATTCAAGTTGTGCCTTCTGAGCCATGCTGTAGTTCTAGCATACTCTCACTCCCATCACAGCCCCTGGCTTGCTTTTGTCATACACGTAAACACTCTTAGGTGAAAGAAGAAACCCATGGATTTCATTTGAAAGTCCCACTAAAACAGAAGAAAGAGCAGATGTCCTGGGAAGTGATAATTAATGTGCAGGAAGTGTCTAATTGTGAGAACTGGCAGGCCCCAGCCTCGAGATTTTGCTCAATTTGGTGGTGATGATGTCAGCCGGGGGTGTCATTTTGCAGAGATGTGCTCTGTGCTCTCTTCCCCATGCTTCGGTAGTGATGATAATGCCATCCAACCAATTATCACTTTGATTACATAACGTGTTTTGATTGAAAAGTTTCTGAGAAAATAAAAGGTACTTTGTTCTCTCTGGCACAAAAAAATCCACAAGCTGTTCCAGCAGACAAGCTGACCTACTGAGAAACGCTGGGAATTATTAAGCTAAATTATGAATCGAACTTAATTTGGGAACAAAGCATCCATTGTGCATAGCTCCCCATGACATCCAGCAGGACGTCATTGTTTTTCTGACAAGTTTCTCCCCAGCACACTCTAAAATAAGCAGAGTCCCCAGGAGTAAAGCCCCCAAGAGCAGAGCGAGGGAGTGCGGGAAGCATTGACAAGGCTTCCTTTTTTCTCCCTATTCTGTAGGCGCTTAGTGCAGAGTTTGCCCAGAGACGCCAGGGTATGAGCTTTCTGAATTTGTAGACTGGTGCACTCTTTCATTTCTGTTTTAGTTCTTTGCTGGCATGCTGGGGAAGCATGGTTTGTGCCACGCAGGAATGTGTTCACTTGGAAAATGCTTGTGCATGAGTGAGGTGGTTGCTAATGCTTCTCTAAACTGTACTAAGTTTCTCACTTGGCTTTGTTTGCTGCTTCCAAGGGGATCAAGGTAATCCTTTCTCTTTGTGTTGCCCAGAACAATCACTTATTGTTGGAACATGCAGTGGAAGCTGCTGCAGGTCTCCCTCCACCAGGTTTCTTAAACCTAAGAGAAGTCTGATTTTAGGGAACCCAGTGCCACCAAGAATGAGCCTCATCATACAGGAGCCCATTAGGGTTTCCACCTTATACAGTCTCTTAACTGAGTTTGAGGGCCCCAGTCTCAAAAAAGAAGGGAAAAGCAACCTTTGACATGGTAATAGCAGCATCACATTGACCATAACCCTGGGATATAGGGCATAGTGGGAAGCCCAAGTTCTTTCTTCCCTTTGCTTTTTTCTGGCCCTTTTGAGTAGCCAGACCAGCCTTGGCACTTTGCACACAGCCCTCAGGGCCTATTCCAAAGCCTAGCTTGTAAGTCACTCTATTTCTATTTCACACCAGTCTGATCTGTGACTACCCAATTCTGAACAACGTTGGCACATCCCTGCCTGAAACATGGCCAGTGAGCTCAGGAAGTGAGGTCCCTACCTTCCCATGCTTAGGCTTCTCCTGAGTTTTAAAACAAGTCCCTCTAGCTCCTCAGTTCTTCCTGGCTTCCAGGCAATGCTGGTGGGTGAGGAGGGACTGAGGCTGCCTAGGAGCCTTAGGTGTGAGGAAGCCCAACTTAGCACTGTGAGCCGAGGCTCCATCACCTGAAGCTGCTTTTTCTAGGAGGAGGTGAGGGAGAAGGGCAGGACAGGACAATGCCAGGTGGAGGGTCCTCTGAGGGCCAGAAGAGCTGGCTGCCAGGCAAGCAGTCTTGTAGCCTTTCACTCAATGCTGTGCTTCCTCTGACTTTTCTCTGTTCTAGACCACCTGTTAGCCGAGCAGCTCCCCAGCCTGAAAAACTCCAGAAGAACAATATCACCAAAAAAAAGAAACTGGTTGAGGTGAGGAGGTTGAACTATTGTGCTTCTAATCTGATATTGGTGTTCAAAATCTGGCAGACATCTCTGTCTACCTGTCCCACACTGTAAAAGGAGCCCAAGTGGATCCATTGACTCTCTTGTCCCCTTTCCCTTCTACATGATGTTATGTCCCCATCCCCAGGACCAGAATTACATCCACTGGGACACATTCCTCTTCCCCTGGCCCTGCCACCAACCCTATCAGTACTAATTCTAAAGTGTCCCATGTCCTTCAAACCTGGTTCCCTATACCTCTTTCCACTCAGGTCCTCAACATCCCTTTCATGGACAAGAAGGTAGGGGAAGAGGGACAGAGAGGAGAAGGAAAAAGGGAGGAGAGATAGAGAGAGAGAGAGAGAAGGAGGATAGAAGGGGCACTTACTGTCTCTAATGTCACATGGGCACTTCCACATGCCACTCTGCACATAGCTCACCTGTTGTGAAGCATCTCATAAGTCCTCTCACATATGAGGTGGGTCTATTCTTGTTCTCATTTGCAATGAGGACACAGTGGTGCAGGGAAATTAAGGGAAAGTTGGGTCTTGTGTCTGTAGTTACCAGTGCAGTGAGTGGGGAAGGATCAGGACTCGGTCCTTGAGACATGAGGACCAACTCCAGTGAACCTGCTGTTTTCACAGAGAGACCACTCTCCCCTCCGCCAGAGCTCACTTTTCTTTGAAACCCAGGAGGTTCCCATATTACCAATGAGATTCAAGTTCATGATTTCAGAACCTTACCCAGAGCCACCTTCCAAGCTCATTGCCTGTAATTCACTACAACCCAAATCTCCAGCTCCAAACTCACCATTTAATATTCTCTGAATTTGCCATGGACTTTGAAGTCCTGTGTTTTAATTCCTGGTGTTTAAAAGGTCCCTCTGCTCCCCACACCTCCGTCCTTCCCAGCCCTTCTCCAATATCTTCTCTCGGTGATCTTGTTCCTTAATCCTCCGACCCTGCCCATACTCCCTCTTCCACAGCCCTGCTCACACACTCTACGGCCTCCTTCCTGTTCCTGTCTTCTTTACTATACTGTAAACTTACTGAAGCCAGAAAAAATCTATCTTTGATTTTTTTATTGGAAAAGGAAAATTTACTGTGAGAGGATTTATCATGGGGCACAGCACAGGCCAGGAAATGCAGCTAAGCTTCAGGAAAGATGGGATCCAGGAGCCATCAAGGCAAGATCGCACCTCTCTTCTTCCTGTCTTGTGTTCATCTAATACATCCTTTTTTTTCCTGAAGATTTCTTGAAATACTGTGCCCACCCATGCCACACTATAAGTGCCTCCCAGCACCTGAGTACACATCCCCTCAGCCAATTAGACAGATGAGCCCACCAGCATTCCCGGTTCTAAATTCCTGGGAGACTCGTATTGGCCAGTGTGTGTCAGTTGTCCAGTGTGTCTAGGAACTGAGTCACATATTAACAGTTTCGGGGAAACACCTTGGAGGAGTCTGAGGAGTAGAGACTCACTAGGGTAAAACGAGAATAAGGGCTTTCCAGATGAGATATTTTAAGAAGCAAAATCAGAAAGCTAGGAAAGGTTATGTTATATGGACTAACTAGATAAGTCAGGTTGCCCAAGGGGCATTGGACATAATCAGAGGTGTGAGTAGGGGCTCACCATGCCAATCTGAGGAGTTTGGGCTTTATCCCAGTCAGTGAAGGACAGTCAATGATTTTGAATAAAGAGGAGCCATGGTATTTCAGAACTGTGATGTTTGCAGTTGGCAGGCTGTGGAGATTGTAAGAATCAAGGAGACTAAAGAAAAGGGACCCGTATCCTGCTAATATTGTATCCCACCAACCAGCACAGGGCCAGGTGTGGAAGAGCCTCCCAATACATGTATGTTGAATGGAGTCAGGAACTGATACGAATCAGCCCCTGCTCTTTGTCAGGGCAAGATCGGAAGAAGAGAAAGATTACAAATTCAGTACCTAGTTGCCAGAGAAGAAATGCAAATGTGAGAAGCTTTGTAGGGCAAAAGTACCCACCAGCAGAATGAGTATGGCATTTGCTCAATATTCTGCTCTGCCTGCCCCTGTTTTGTCAGAGCAAATCACTGAGCCACCGTTCAGCTGACCTAAGGATCATATGCCAACACCCACACGTGAAGCTTCTAGGGCATCAGAGCTAAGGAACCAGGAAGCAAATCTGGCTTATTTAGGAAAGTTGCTCTAATTCTATGTGGTTGCCTGCTACCCCTAACTAAAGAAAAGGCCGCATTTTTCCTTAGCTAGTCAAGAGCAGAATGCCTTCAGTGTGCGGCAGCTGCCTCCCCAGCCACAGTTCCTGTGACATACGTAGCTGCTCACACAGTGTGCGTTTGTTCCAGTGCTCTTATTTCCTCTGAGGGTGGCTCTTCTCTGTGTGTCACTGTAGGAGCTGGCACTTGACCACGTGTTTGGCTATAGAGGATTCGACTGTCGAAACAACCTGCATTACCTTAATGACGGTGCAGACATCATCTTCCATACTGCAGCGGCCGGTGTCGTCCAAAACCTCTCCACAGGTAGCCTTCCCAATACAGGTCTCCACGGTCGCCCTCCTGCAGATTTGCCCAGAGCTTACCCATTTCCTTCCCCTTAGAGCTCAGATGCAGTTCTAGGAGTCAAAGCGCTCTTCCTTTCTGGCCTGAGCCCAACTTGAGCTTGGTGGAGGCCCTAGAGGGAGCTGTCCATGTTCACTTCAGCTCCTCTAAGGTGAGAGGTGTGGAGAGAAGAGCAGAGCAATTCCATAGAGGCTGAAACTGAGAGCAAAGCATGGGCAAGCCTTCTCATTAGCTTTTAACAGTGAGCAATTTTTTAGAAGCTCAGATCAAGTTTTGTTTGTTTTGACTCTTGAGCCATATTTACAATGAGAATGTTAATAAACAAAAATAGCCAAGGTGTTGTTCAACCATGTGATGACTCCACTTAAATAATTTAAAAAGATACATTTCAAACAACAAGAAGCAGTCAGAAGTTCATTTAATACACATCCATATTCTTACCACTAGATTAAAATGTTAGCATTTTGTCCTATTTAGAAAACTTCTTTCAAATGTTCATATTCAATCTGAGTTCTGTGTAGTTGTTCAGGTGTAGATCTAGGCAGTAGTATCTTTGGGCACACACTGATTGTATCTCTTCTGAGAAGGAAGGCCTTGAAATTTTCTATTCATTTTCTCAATTATCAGTTTAGTAGCAATGTGCTATTTCCTTACATATCAAAACCTCCATTCATTTCTGTGTTCTTGGGCATGGAGTGGGTTTACAGTGGCCACTTAGGAAGTCAACAAACCTATTTACTGAAATAGATAAAGTGTTTTTTGCCCTTTCTTCCATTTCCTATGATGTATGTCAAGTTAGGATTTGGGGAGTAAGGCCTTGCCCTGTGCCACCCAGGCAGCCAAATGGATTGGTACTTGGTAAGTAAAAGCGATTCACTAGGAATTTCTCATTCCATAGACTCCCCTTTATGATGAGAAAGGGGCACCATTTTGCTGACTAGAGCATTATCTCCAGGCCTTGCCCTGCCCTGCCCAGAAGCAGACACTGAGAAGCCACCCTGTACCTAGAAACCTAGAGTTTGTCATCTTCACTCGGGAAGCCTCTGCACTTGGACTGTGCACTGGACCCATACAGGGCAGCAGGAAAGACTGGGGCACAGCTTGGGAGTATTAGGAAAGGGAAACCAATTCCTCTTCTCCCAGATCTAGAACACAATATGTGAATTTTAAAAATTTTAAGTTTAAACATTAAAAAAAAAAATCCCACCTCCCCAAGGACAATTCTGAAAGTGAGAATTTGGGGGCTTTCAGCTACTATTTTTACAAGGAATTTCCAGTTCCATGGGAAGCTTTAGGGTTGCCCTGAAGTCTTTAAGTTCCACTATTCACCTTCTCATGCTTTCTCTCCTAGGCAGCCAGAGCTTCTACCTGGAGCACACGGATGACATCCTGTGCCTCACAGTGAACCAGCACCCCAAGTACAGAAATGTGGTGGCCACCAGCCAGATAGGTAGGGGAGCTTGCATCAGCTGAGCTCTCCCAGCTGAGCAGGGTCACTGACTTGTTAGCAATTACTGGGAGAGAGTATGGGTCTCTGATGTTCACCCCTGCTTATTGATGTCACTCTTGATTTCTTGAGCTGTAAATGTATCTGCGTCACCAAAGTTGACACACCCAGGGATTGGTTGTTCTGAGGGACCATAAAGGCAGAAACGGAGCCTGATAGTGCAAACCAGTGGATGGTCCTCATCCCCATGGACTTGTGAGAACAATTTTTCAGACCCTTGTGTCAAACAGCCCCATGTCTTGAAGCCTGGCAGTTTTGCTTGGGGAGAGTAAATTGTAGCATGTGTGCCTGCCTCTTCCGGACCCTCGGAAACTGCCAAGGACAAATGTGAACTGCCTCACATTTGTGAAGTGTGTTTGCTTATTTGTTTTTACTTTGTCATTTTGAGGCAGTCTGTACACAAGTACCTTCCTGCTTGTTTTCATTGAGCCATGTCCATTTTTAGTTTTACTTTGGAGCTTTCTGATGCTGGTGTTGAGTGCTTTCCTCCTAGACACATGACTGAACTTAGCTATTGTTTTCCCTTGCTGCTTCTTCATTGCCATTGCCCACCCAACGCAGGTGATAGCACTGAAACCCCAGGTAAGACTGTTTCATCCGTGAGTAGTTTGAATCTGCACAGAAAAATCATGTCATTATACCATGTTTGCTGATTGTATCTGGCTAAACTGCTGATACAAATCACTGACCTCACCCATCTCCTTTGTACAAAACCCTCCACAAGTGTCCGTTTTAGACATAAAGGTCCACAGGCCTTCAGCAGTGAGTTTCTCAGTCTTTTTCTGGCCAGGTTAGGTTTAGAAGTCTCATGTCCTGTAACTATAATGCCCCTCAACACCTGCCCAAGGAAGGGCTTGAAAATCACAAGCACTGCCTCAATCCACCATTCTCTGTCATGCCTCCCACACTAGGAACAACACCTTCAATCCACATTTGGGACGCCATGACTAAACACACCCTCTCCATGCTGCGGTGCTTCCACTCCAAGGGGGTGAATTATGTGAACTTCAGTGCAACTGGAAAGCTCCTGGTGTCAGTAGGAGTGGACCCCGAGCATACCATCACCGTCTGGCGATGGCAGGAAGGTAATGAACTGGGCTTTGTGTCCCTCCAGGAGAGGTCTGTGGTATGGGCTGGGCTAGAACCCAGATCTCCCTCACTTCAGTGCCTACCATGGGCTCTGCTGCTATGCCAGCAGTAGCCAGAGCTCTTGGGATCCTTGAAAAGCTGCACCTCAGATGCCAAGGCATCCTGGGCCCTCAGCCAGGCCCATGCAGACCCGATCTGTGGGCTAGTTAGGGAACGGTCTTTGGGTACTTGAGGGAAGTGCCCATGTTGGAGGCCTTCCTCCTCAGACAGAGGCACCATCGTCCCATTTGTCTTCACCACCTTCCTATCCAAACTTCCTTGTCCTCAGTGTTCTTGCTGGTGGTTTCTGGATTCTGCTCCAGTCCTTTCACCTTGTTATAGGAAATGGGATGACTATAACCAGTCTTAGAAGCAAATTTTAATTTTAACATATTTTATGTTTTACCTTTTTTGAGATGGGCATTTATCTTATCAAGGCTTATATTTAATGGATTTCTTATCCTCCCCCAACAAACCCACACACACGCACACACACACACATGCACACCAGCTGCTACTAAATTTATAGTCATCTTACGAGTAAAGATATGCAATTTTCTGAGTGTATCCTCAGGTCAGGTGCTGGTTTAGCAAAAGCAGATCCAATTAGTGAGGACATTAATGAGGTCTGTCTGCAGCTGGTATCTGGGACATGCTGAGCAGGCAAGCAGAGAGGTAGCACTTCTCCAATCCAGGACTTGAGAGGCCCATTATCTCATTTTCCCATGGAGGGGGTGGGGAGAGGGGCTGAAGAGATGGGCACATTAAGAAGAAAGTTCCGATCCTTCCTGAGTTGCTAGTGAAGACAGGCTGGCAGATGTTAGGAATCAGACTTACTCTTACACTTCATCGGGAGGTGGCTTAGACTAGCAGTATTTCTTATTTTCTTGTTTGCCAGTACATTGTGTCCAAATGGTCCCATAATCCATCTCTTTGTGATGCAGATTCACTCCTGTGTGGCCAAGTAATTAGAGCTTGAGCATCTTACCACACAGCTTCACAGCATCTCAGAGTTGGAAGAACTAGAGATGTCTTCCCTTCAGCCAGGATCCACTTAGAAAAATTCCCTCTAATGCCCTGCGATGTGCTTCTCTCTATCCTGTGCTTGCATACTTTCAAGGCTGTGGACCCCATCATTTCATGAGGAGCTCACCTACTGTTAGAAAGCTCTGTTTATAAGGCTCTCTCTTACAGGGGGCATCACTGGCTTCGGGAAACCTTTCTTCTACACTACTGACTTTAGTCTCAGATCCTGGGAAGATCCTGTGCCCCTACACACAGTCTTGTCTTTTTAAGTTCAGGTTCCCTCTCCTCATTTCCTCTACCTGTCTTTTTGGGCAATACCTGCTCTGGCCCTGCCCTGGCCGGATGCTTGCTCACCTGGGGACCCTCTGACCTCCCAAGGGAGGAGTAGAGGAGCCAGGCCTTTAAACAAGCTCCCAGAAGGAGAGAGACCTGCTGTTTGGTAGCTTTCCCTTCATGTCTTCATTGGAATCAGTCTATATAGAAGGGTCTGAGTCAGTGATAACATCTGGCAGCCTGTCACCAGCCACCACCTCTTCTCAGTTGGCTGGATATGGCCTTTCTTCTCAATTACTTCTCCAGTATGGTTTTTCCTTCACTTCAGGTCCTTGCTTTCAGATAAATAACAAGTGTTTGAGGAGGTTTATATGCATTTCATTATCACTATAGAACATATACCTTTCTCATTTGTTAGAGGATCATTTTGGGAAACGTGTGTGTGTATAATAAAATGGGATTAAAACTGAACTTACTCCTTAAAATGCATGTTGTCAGATCCAAGATATGTCTATGTAATTTGCTTTGAATGGACTAGAGGCCAAAGTATAGAGGGATCCAGAGGTCTCCACAATTAGAAGTATCCATGAGATTAAAACAAGGAAAAAAACCCAATGGTTTAGAAAAAAATATGGATGTCATTGTTAATTTGCATTTTCCCTATGGCTGGTGAGATTGATCGATCATCTTTCCATGTCTTTATTGGCCACTTGTACTGCTGTTTCTGTAATTCACTTGTTCAAATCCTTTTTCTGTGGGGGGGTGAGAGGGTTGTTTCTTATCAATGATTTATTTTTCTTTATAGATTATTAATATTAAACCTTTGGCTCTTATAAGAAGTGCAAATGCTTTCTTCCAGTCTGTTGTTTGTTTTTTGTTTATGGTATCCTTGGAGACTATCAGTGTTAAATCTCTGAACCCTAGGTAGAGAAGATATCGGCTCTAGAGAAAGAATCACAGCCAGGAGAGGTGACCCATGGGTCTCCCCAGCCTCCCCTAGGACTTCCTTTAGGGAGCATCTGTGAGGTAGTTACAGGCCCAGCTTTGCTAAAAACCCACCACCCACACTCTACTACAGAGCCATTGTAAAAAAGAACAAATGTAAAGTGATGAGAAGAAAAAAAGTTTTGGACACATAGTAAAAGGAGAGAAGACGAGGAACTTTGAACTAAAACACTGAGAATATGTGAAAGGAGTTTTGTGAGAAAAAGTAACAAAAGTTTAAAAATTAAAGGGCTTAGAAATAATGACGTAAAAAGAGATAGATTTGAAATACGGGCAAAAAGAATAGAGACCAAGCTGAAAAAGTGATAATAGCCATCACTGACACCGAAGGCTCACATTAAAGCACTTAGCACTTCTAATCCTCACAACAACCTATAAAATAGGAACTATTATTATTTCCAATTACAGGTGAGGGGACTAAGGCACAGAGAGGTTAAATAACTTGTCCAAAGATGTTCGATGGGTAATTAGTGGAGTTGAACATGAAGACAAAGGTTAAATAAAACTCAGGGGACATTATGAAATGCACTAAGAAAAGAACCCCTAGTAATTAAATATAAAAGTTTAAAAAACCTAAAGATCACAAAATAAAAAGGAACATGGAGAATTTTCTTTTGAGAATATAAATGCAGAAAATTTTGGAAAGAAATAAGAAAATAAAAGACATCTAAATGAGTGTGAGCCCCCAGTGACCCCTCTGGGTGGTGTCTGGCCTTCTAGGGGCTGAATTCTGTTTTATTTTATTTTATTTTTGAATTAGTGAACATAAATACTATGTGGGGTTTCACTGTGATGACACCATACATGTGTGTGTTGTACTTTGAACAATTCACTCCTCATGGCATTTCCATTCCTCCGTCTACCCCTCCTTTTAGACAGTATTTGGCGGGTTTCATTATGCTGTCTTCATAAGCATAAATACAGTACTTCCATCCTCTCCACCCTTCAGTATCTAGGAGCTGAATTCCATGGTGATGGGAGATCTGCCTTTTCCTCCCACCTGGAAGCTTGCATCTCAGGAGCCATTCTTTCCTGCTCCATTCATGGATGCTGTCACCCACACAGGTGCCAAGGTTGCTAGCCGAGGGGGTCACCTGGAGCGCATATTTGTGGTGGAGTTTCGCCCTGACTCAGACACACAGTTTGTATCCGTCGGGGTCAAACACATGAAGTTCTGGGCCCTGGCAGGCAGCTCCCTTCTTTACAAGAAAGGGGTCATCGGGTCCATGGAGGCAGCCAAGATGCAGACAATGCTGTCCGTGGCCTTCGGTGCTGTGAGTTCCAGCAGATGTTTCCTCAGAGGGGACCCTGATCCCCTGGGAATGGGCATGGGGAAAGTTTGGCCAAGAAGCTGATATGAGGAAAGCCATTTCCATTTTTTCTTTGCTATTGATTCTTAGCAACTACTGTTCCTTACCATGGATGGGCAAATTAACTGAATTCCCCACCCCCCATTTTTTCCCCTCAAAATGTTGGTCAGAAAGGGTTGGACTCAGAGGCAGCCTTGCTATGCAAACCTACTAAGCCCAGGGCTAGGTCGTCCCCGAGGATACTGGGAGCAATTTCCAGTAGTCAGCCTCTTGAAGCTCTCCTGCTCCACACTTCCCCCAGGTGCCACCATTAGGTGGGCTGTGGGGCCTCTCAGTCAAGGCAATGCCCCTTGGGGACATTTTGGAACACAGCCCTTGGTCCTCCAGGTATGAACTTACCACTTCCTAACTGAGCCCCAGGAACACTTCCTCAGGCTGGAAGAACCCCTCCCCACTCTGACACTTGGGTTTGCTTTTATTGATGCAGAGGTGGCACAGAGGGGAAGTAAAATGTCCATGCCAACTACAGTGAATGTCAAAGCCAGGTGGCTGCCTTACACTCTTTGTGGTTTCTCTGCAAATTCTCTGCTTTGCTTAATGCAAAGATAAAATTGATTATGCATGTCTGGTTCTTTTAATAAAGGGGTGGGGAGCTGGGAAAGGTCGCTCTTGTGCAGGTTCCTGTTGTTAAAGATGTCCCTTTGTTTGCAGAACAACCTCACTTTCACGGGTGCAATCAATGGAGATGTCTACGTGTGGAAGGACCACTTTCTCATTCGACTAGTAGCCAAGGCTCACACAGGCCCCGTGTTCACAATGTACACCACCCTCAGAGATGGGCTCATTGTGACTGGCGGGAAAGAGAGGCCGTAAGTGAAAGCCCCCCTGCCCTCTGCCAACAACTTGTCCTTTGTCACTGTATTGCGAGAACCTGACAAAAGCATCCCTAATTTGGGGAAAATGCAGATTGTCCTTCTATCTTTTCCATTAGGGAGACCAGTCAGCTATCTTTCTAAGAGGGCCTAGGTCAAAAACTTGACAAGTGAGAGGCAAATAGAGAAGGGTTTCTGGTTGTTAAAAACATGAGATATTTTTTAATAACTCAGGATAACTTTGCTGCTCCAAATGCTACTTTTAGCAGCAATTTGGGGGAAGGGAGGAAGAAGTGAGAAGAGAGACAGACGTTCCAGTGGGATAGGACAGAGGTGACAGCAAAGTGTGAAGACAGGAGAAGCATCCTATCAATGACTTTCCAGATTGTGCTTTCTTTCTTCCGAAGACTCAAAGGCATTTTAGGAAACCTGTAAGGTCAAGGGATTGTGAAAGCTCATCTGAAGGGCCTCTGAAGGGGTCCTGCTGTGACTGGGTGACCATGACCTTTGTGACTGATGTGACTAAAGAGGAAAGGATGGGTCACAAGGAAGTCTACCAAAGACAACAGTCTGAATGCTTATTATTATTATTATTATTTTTTTAGAACCAAAGAAGGGGGTGCTGTAAAATTGTGGGACCAGGAGATGAAGCGCTGCCGGGCCTTCCAGCTAGAAACAGGGCAGCTGGTGGAGTGCGTGCGTTCTGTGTGCCGAGGCAAGGTGAGCAGAGCCTCTTCCCAAGCCACCCTGGCCCCAAGGAAGGGGCAGGGGTCCTAGTGAGCCTTCTCTCTGTGCCTTCCCAGTCAGTCACCTTACCTATGCTTGTTTGTTCAAGCCTCAGCCTCCAAGGTGTGGATGTACTGCAGTGCGAGGAAGCGTAAGAGAGTCAGACAGACCTGGGCAAAGTAAGATCTGGCTGTGCAACCCTGGGTGTTTCTTAAACTGCTTCCAGCACCCAGATCAGTTGTGAGGATTGCACTCATCACAGATGGTAGTGCTTTCCATATGTTAGTCATTCAGGAGATGCTAACTACTATCATCACTATTACTTTTTTTATTGATACAGGGTCTCACTATGCAGCCCAGACAGGCCTCAACTGCATGATCCTCTTGCCTCAGCCTCCCAAATGCTGGGATTACAGATGTGTGCCACCACACCCAGTGCAGGTACTATTATTATAGATAGTATTGCTATAAGCTGAGAGATATGAATTAATTGCTTATGTCTATGGTAGTGAGACCAGTCAGGGGTAGTAAGGGCCAGCAAACTGGCTCAAGGCCATTGGTTTTGAACTCATACTTTGGCTGAGAATCAAAAACAACTGAGCTGCCAAGTTAGGATCTCAGGAGTGTAACCTCGACCTGTGTGTTTTCCTTTTTTTTTTTTCCCTTCTTTGCTTTTTAAAACTCCCCCAGGAAATTTGATCTATTTGAAAACAAATTTCTTAATTGCTATTTAATATCAAGTGTTTATTTTTTAATTGGTATCAGCCTAAGAATTTTCTTTCTAGGTATTCACATATTGTGAAATTAGGAAGCATGATTAGGGGAACTGTAGGAAGGACCTGGAGGCTGTCATTTGTCTTTGTTCAGTGGAAGGAAGAACTTAAGCATTTGAGCTATCAAGAACAGAAACTGAGCCAGGCACATGTGGCTCATACCTATAATCCTAGTTACTCATGAGGCAGAGATCAGGAGGATTGAAGTTCGAAGCCTGTCCAGGCAAATAGTTCGAGAGACCCTATGCCCTATCTTAAAAAAACCCACAAAATAGGGCTGGTGAAGTGGCTTAAGGTGTAGACCCTGAGTTCAAGCTCCAGTATCAGAAAAACAAAACAGAAATTGGCTGCCTATAGAAAGTTCTAGCTGAGGCTGGCTGACGAGGGACTCTGCTGAAGCTCCCACCCAAGGGAATTGATAGAGCAAAAGCAAGAAGGCAGAGATGCTTACTGATGAGTTATTAACAAATCACCCCTCAGCGCTTCCTGTTTTATACCAGCATAGCAAAGCCACTTCCCCAAGTTTAGTTTAGTTAGTGCTTGTATAAAATCATTTTTAAAATTGTGGTAAAATACACATATACAGAACTTACCCTTTTAAACACTTTAAGTGTTTAAGCACATTGGTGTGCTTAAGCACCACCATCATCTATCTGCAGAACTTTTTCCTCTGTCCTCAGTAGGTACCAACTCCTCTTGTTTCCCTCCAGCCCATGGCAACCACCATTCTACTTTCTCTGTGAATTTGACTACTTCCTCTGTGAATTTGACTACTTCAGGTACCTCAGACGAGTGGAACCATTTTCTAATGGCATTTTGATTACAACAGGGAAAAATTTTAGTAGGAACCAAAGATGGAGAGATAATTGAAGTTGGTGAAAAAAACGCTGCTTCCAACATCCTGATTGACGGACACATGGAGGGGGAGATCTGGGGCCTAGCCACACACCCCTCCAAGGACATCTTCATTTCTGCCAGCAACGATGGCACAGCCCGGATCTGGGACCTGGCTGACAAGGTGAAGGGCCACTCTTCCTGGCTTGGATGTCCACAGCTGCAGGAGCCAAGTGAAGCTAGAGATGGGTTGTGGGCTGGATCAATGAATAGCCCAAAGTCAGGAATTAAGTTAGAAAGCCTAATAATAAAAGAAGTTCCCCCCACCACACACACACATACATCACCTATGTTCTAGCTATCTATCCATCTATAGGCCTTGACAGTCTGGGTGTCAGAATGATTATTTTCCTGTTATGAACATACCCACAAAACCTAAAAAATAAAGAGACAAGGTTTGTCTTCCCTGCATGGGAAGACAGGATGTTTTTAAATGTCACCTGTTTCAAATAGGCTAATATATTCCCACAAGAATCCCAAGAAGGTTTCTCTAGAGCTTGGGAAAACAATTTTAAAGTTCATCTGGGGTAAAAATGTAAAAAGCAAGGAATAATCTAGAAAAAAGTTAATAAGTCTTATCCAGTCCAAAACAAATTCGCAAATTCTAACAATGAAAGCACTTGATTTTATTTCAGCCTGGCAAGGAAATGTTTCTGTCTTATTTTTAGTGTAAAGGTCAAAGAATAGATAATCCAAAGCTTGAGTGTGGTTCTTATACTCTAATTTTAAAATCATTATACTTATTAAGAACAGTTATCATTTACTGAAGACCTACTGTCTACCAGTTACTTCTGTATTGTTTACCATAACCTTCCAACGCTAGTATTAATACTTCTTCCATACAAGAGGGAAAACTGAAAAGAACCTTACCAGATGCACCTGGCTAATTTGAGTCAGTGAATGCTGAAATGCACACTTCTTTCCGTTAAGCAAGAGGTTGGCAATCTACAGCCCAAGGGCCAGGTGTGGCTGCACCGTTTCTACAAATGAAGCCACACTCATGTGTTGTGTACTGTCTACAGTCACTTTCATGCCAAAGGGAAAGTAGTCAGGACAGACACAGATGGTCCACTATCTAAAATCCTAACCATTTAGGGAAAGTTTGCCAAACCCTGCCCTGAAGCGTGCTATCCGTCAAGCTGCTCTAATCAAACCATCCTGCCTACCTCAGCTACTCACAGATGTTTACTATGAGAAGAAAGAGATTGGTGGTCTAAGATGACACTTTGGCCTGGTACAAGATTCCCCCAGAGACCAGTGAGGAGGTGAGGGCTCAGGTGACTTTCTTTATATCTACTTAGAAGCTGCTAAACAAGGTGACCCTGGGCCATGCGGCCAGGTGTGCAGCCTATAGCCCTGATGGAGAGATGGTGGCCATTGGCATGAAGAATGGAGAGTTTGTCATCTTGTTGGTGAACAGCCTGAAAGTTTGGGGGAAGAAACGAGACCGGAAATCTGCCATCCAAGATATCAGGTACCTGAGCGGGTGGTCTGAGCAGAAAGAAAGTCAAGTGCTCTCTTTACCATGGTCCACTTCCAGAAGAAGGGTCCTCCTTCACAAGTCAGCTGAATGAACCCTCACTGGTTCATTCTTGGTTGTCTACTAATTTCTGTAAGAGTGTGATAAAAGTGCTTGTTTGTCGTGCTATAAAAGGCTGCACACAGCTATTTCCTTCTGTGGCATTTGATCCAGAAAATGCAAAGCAGGGAGAAGCTAACATGTGAGTCAGGAGGCAGAGGTCATTGTTTTTGTGCCTAGGGACCCCATCCAGAAGAGCCCTCATGCCTGATCAGCCCCAAACAGCCTCCTCATGGAACATACTCTTTTTTTGGATTGCTTTTTCTAGAATCAGCCCAGACAACAGATTTTTAGCCGTTGGTTCTTCTGAGCACACAGTTGACTTCTATGACCTTACCCAGGGCACAAGTCTGAACCGCATTGGCTACTGCAAAGATATTCCAAGCTTTGTCATTCAGATGGATTTTTCTGCAGATAGCAAATACATTCAGGTATGCTTCCAGTTTCCTTATGTCATGGGCAACCAAGTGAGGTGCTTACTATGTGCTGAGCCATGAGCTAATTTACTCTCACAGGAAATCTTTTAAGCACAGTTGCTTTCCCCTTACTTTGCAAATACAGAAATAGAGGGTTAAAGAAAGTAGAAGAAACAAGATTTAAAGTAATAAAGTTATTCTTCAATGGGAGAGAAAACAGAAATACATGCCTGGGTCATCTCTAGCCTCCCCTCTCCAGCAACCCTTCAAAGCTCCCTACTGTCTAGTTCTCTGGGCTGCATTAAGCTGTATTGCTTCTTATTTCTCTTCCAAAATCTACTGGGCAGCATGGCCAGTAGACTGGACCTGGACTCCAGACAGTGGGCCTGGAATAAGAAAGTTCATCACTGGGTCCCACCCAGGGGGCTGACAGCTAAAAACAAAACAAAGATTTCTCCAGCATTCAACATTATTCATTTATGAGCCTGGAGTTGGACACTCACTGAGAGATGCATTCATTCATTTATTCATCAAATGTTTACTGAACCAGGCATTGTGCTAGGTAGGCTTTTGGATGGACAAAATATGCTTAATTCCTGTCTCCTCCTGGAGCTTGCTTTGTCATGGAGAAGACAAGCATTAAACAATCACAAAATACACATGTAATTACAAATTGTGACTGTGGGCTGAGAAGGCAAATATAGGGAGCTTTTAACAAGGTGTTGAATTTACATTTGCTTCCTCTCTGAGCAAGTGATTTAAGCTGAGGTCTGTAGGGTGTGTAGGAGTTAGCTAACAAAGAGGGGTGGAACACTGTTCCAGGCCATCTCATGAAAGCCCCGAGGTGGGAAAGATTTAGTGAGGCTCATTCCATGAACAGAAGAAAAGCCAGGATGGCTGGGGTAGGCATCAGGGGGAAGGAGCTAAAGATGTATGCATTTGCCATTTGCATAGGCATGGGGGGGGCAGCTAAATATGTATGGATTGGCCATTTGCTGGCAGATGTCCTTAACTGTGGAAAAAGTGGTCAGTTTTCTCTACAAGACTCCTAAAGAAGTAAGGGTCAGGTCCTAGGGCACTTCAGAAATCACCTTTATTGGCTGCTGTCCTTGAGAAAACTTGCCTTCCCTCTGTACCACAGGTTCTTGGTTCTCTGAGGACAGTTTTCTGTTAGACTCACCTGCAGGCTTGGTTAAAACAGATTGCCGGGCCCCACCCTCTGTCTGATTTGGTAGGTCTGGTGGAGGGCCCAGTAATTTGCATTTCTAACAAGTTTCCAGATGATGTTGATGCTGCTGTTCAGGAACCAGTTGGAGGACCACTGCCTTAGGACTCTGGGAAACAGTGAAAAAGTGGGTGGAAAAATGTCCTGCTCTGTGAATTTTGTCATGGGCTGGCTACAGACTTTGCAGCCTGTTGCTGAGCTTGGGTTTAGAGAAAAGCCCTATAGATAGGCTGTTCTGGAAAACAACGTGCCTACAGGGAGGGTCTTTTGGACCGAGAAAGTTGATGAGCTTGGGTTCCCTTCTACTTGTAGGTGTCAACAGGAGCGTATAAGCGCCAGGTGCATGAGGTCCCCCTGGGGAAGCAGGTAACCGAAGCCATGGTCATTGAGAAGATCACCTGGGCTTCCTGGACAAGGTGACTGGAGAAAACACTTCTTGAGGAAGAAGTCACAAGGGAATCTCTTGTCCCTGGCTCTAAGTTTGTGATGGCCAGGATCTGAAGAGCTCAAAGCCAGATCTGTCTTTTCTCCTGGGGTGAGGTTGGGAGGCTTCTTGGCTCTCTGGCTTAGGCCAATGGCCTGACCTGACCAGACCTTTGGAAATGCAAAGTCCTTCTTTTATGTAATCACTCCAAACCCCAAACCCCATTCAGTAAGTTCAAAGGGAAACCATCTCCCATCTCTTGGTCAAGTCCAGTGCACAAGGAAGCCTCCAGTCACAGTGAAAGGGAGGGGAAGGCCAGAACTGCTGTTTACCCTGAGTCTGGAGGAGCTACTCTAGCCCCTCACCTCCATGTTCAGGACTATAGGAAGAAAGATGGGGCTAACTTTTCATTCTGGAGTACAGTGGACTGAGGCAGAATGGTATGAGCTGGCCCAAGTGTACATAGGGGAGGGGTGGATGGTGACAGAGAGCTGCATGACCAGACTGAATTATGCAAATTGTCCCCCTCTCCCTCTCCCCCCTGGGAGGGGATGGGAGGGGATCAATAACCCAGGAAACCTTATCACATGTCTTCCTTCTAACACCTCTCCCTGTTGGAACAGCATTCTGGGAGATGAAGTCATTGGAATCTGGCCTCGAAATGCAGATAAAGCTGATGTCAACTGCGCATGTGTGACCCATGCTGGTCTGAACATTGTCACAGGAGATGATTTTGGGCTGGTGAAGCTCTTTGATTTTCCATCCACGGAAAAATTTGTGAGTCTTCCTAAGTAACTTCCCTGCACTGCCTCCAGGCTCTCTGCTCTTCTGTCCTGTGGGGCAGTGGCACGTCTAGATGGCCGCCTGGGGGACAGAGTAATCTTATCCCAGCCCTGGAGATTGGGCAGTGACTAACGTCTTCATCTCCCTCTAGAGGGGCAGCCCTGGAAACTGTTACAAGGGAGTATGGTGGGCGGACAAAATGGCCACTAGTGGGGCAACAGTGAGGCAGGAAAGTAAGCAAAAGGCTGGCTACCAGATGTGCAAACCAAATGGGAACCCCATCCCCCTAGAATGAAGGTTCTCAGAAGAGAGGCTTTGAGTTCAGGAAGTGCTCAAGGGTTACTGGGACACACAGGGTCTCTCAGCTATCTCCATTCACTTTTCCTCATAGGCCAAACATAAGCGTTACTTTGGTCACTCAGCTCATGTGACGAACATCCGTTTCTCTTACGATGACAAGTATGTGGTCAGCACTGGAGGAGACGACTGCAGGTACTAACCAGATTGACGTGGTTCTGACTCCTTGGGCCTGGCCCCCTCTCCCTCTCTCCCTCAGGTATTCTGTGGTCAGGTTCTGCCAGGGCATGGGTAGCAGCTGATGTGAACAGTAAACAGGACTTCCAAGTAGAAGGTATTCAGTTTCTGGAGATGATCAATCCAAATCTTTTTTTTTCAATTTTTATTTTATTCATATGTGCATACAATGTTTGGGTTATTTCTCCCCCCTTCCCATGCCCCCTCCCTGTCCCCCCCACCCCCTCGATACCCGGCAGAAACTATTTTGCCCTTATCTCTAATTTTGTTGAAGAGAGAGTATAAGCAATAATAGGAAGGAACAAGTGTTTTTGCTGGTTGAGATAAGGATAGCTATACAGGGAGTTGACTCACATTGATTTCCTGTGCGTGGGTGTTACCTTCTAGGTTAATTCTTTTTGATCTAACCTTATCTCTAGTTCCTGGTCCCCTTCTCCTATTGGCCTCAGTTGCTTTTAAGGTATCTGCTTTAGTTTCTCTGTGTTAAGGGCAACAAATGCTATCCAGTTTTTTAGGTGTCTCACCTATCCTCACCCCTCCCTTGTGTGCTCTCGCTTTATCATGTTCAACCCAAATCTTGATAGGCCAATGTTCCGACTAGAGCTGTCCAGGGACTGGTGAGAAGCTGAGGTCATAGACAGCTAATCTGAAGATAAAGAGCATTGCTGGGGGGAGGAGCAAAGTGATGAGAAGCACAAGATGGCTGATTTCAGGGGGAGTTCTCAGCAGCCCACAGACATCACTGAGAAGAATCAGGTTACAATGGACACTCATCTGAACGGCCTTTAAGAACTCCCAGTCAAGCTGGGTGTGGTGGCTTATACCTGTACTCTTAGCTACTCAGGAGGCAGAGACTGGGAAGGCTGAAATTTGAGGCCAGCCTGGGCAAAAAGTTTGTAAGACTCCATCTCAACTAGTAAAAAGCTGGGTGAGTCTTGTTTACCCTAAGAAATAAACAAGTGACATGAGATCAGATGAGAGGTAATAAAATTAGGCTCAGTGCTAGTTAGCAACAGGAGAACCCCAGCCAGTTATTCAAGATAAGCAGGAGCAGCTTTTGACCTTAGTGTCAAACAGGCATAGGTTCTGCATGAGGTGTGCCAGGGGAAGCCAGAGTTTTGGAAGAATTCCTATCAACTTGATCCACAAGTAAGACCAGCTTCTTTAGTTTCAGAGTAGGCAGCTTCCTCCGTCAAGGGCGTTTCTTGGGAGTATGGAGGAACAGGAGTAGGTCATTCTGACTCAGTTTCTCTACATAAGATATCATTTAAAGATTTAATTCCAGCATGAATATTGGTTTTGGTTCAGCCCAAGCAAAATCCTCAAAGTGATAAAGAAATACATGCATTCCGATGTTTTTAGTGGTTTGAGTTAGGCTGTGGAGAGGCACCTACAGATTTCAGCCCCTTCCCACTCAAAGCATCGTGTAGGCCATGGCACCAAGGATGCTTTCTCCTGGCCTGCCTGGTATACTCATGTCTAGCTTGCTATGCCAACTGTTGCTGGTACTTAGAACCCTTGAGACAGTACTGACAGCAACTCCCTGTGGCGTATAAACACCCATTGAAAGCAGGACCAGCCAAACTTAACAAGCTAGGAATAAAACACCTAAGTGAATTGGTCACCCCAGTGCAGGAGATCCAAGGTGACTTCTGTTTACTTCCCAAGGCTTAGAGTTACTTTAAAAACTCAGGACCTGTAGGCCTTTGTAGGCACAGGAGTAATACCATGATGTCTGGCTTTGTGGTAAACACTCAAAAGGGCTCTCTGACTCAAGTGGCAATGATAAAACCTTTTCAATAACAACAGAAGAGAAAGTGAGAAATCAAGTTGCCAAATTCCTCACTGACAACATTCAGCATAGGTGCTCAGAGCCAAACCAAATGAAAAAAACCCTTTTAGGGACCAGGAACTAGAGAAAAGGTTAGATCAAAAAGAATTAACCTAGAAGGTAACACACACGCACAGGAAATCAATGTGAGTCAATGCCCTGTATAGCTATCCTTATCTCAACCAGCAAAAACCCTTGTTCCTTCCTGTTATTGCTTATACTCTCTCTACAACAAAATTAGAAATAAGGACAAAATAGTTTCTGCTGGGTATTGAGGGGGTGGGGGGCAGAGGGAGGGGGCGGAGTGGGTGGTAAGGGGGGGGGGAGAAATGACCCAAGCCTTATATGCACATGTGAATAATAAAACAATAAAAAAAAAAGAAAATAACCCTTTTACAAAGAACAATAAACCAGGCACAGTGATGCACACCTGTAATGAAGCTGAGGGAGCTGTTCAAAGCCAGCCTGGGCTACAGTGACTGCCTTTTATTAAATTTTTTTAAAAAGCAGTAGACTTTTAATTGGTAAGATCGCTGGTTTATTTTGAAATCAAAACATTATACCCCCATCACCTAAGCAAGATTCTTGAACACTTGGCAAGATTTTTTTTTGGCACCTGAAAAAATTATCATGTCCAACCATGCAAAAGTGACTGGTCTTGCTTTTTCAGTGTATTTGTGTGGCGATGTCTGTAAATGCCAGAAACCTCTTATGTTATTGCTGCTGCTACCACCCAGCAACTGCAGAGGCAGTGCCAAGGCACCTCCTGGTCACCAGCTGCTGGGGAATGCCTACAATGCTGCATGGACACACAAGCTCCAAACACTGGTGAAGTCGTACGGCTGTTCCCATAATCTGTGCTCTCCAAAACTGTGATGCCAAGAAGGTGAAGTTCTGAGACTAAAAACTAAACACTAACCACACTGACAAAGAAACCCTATCTGATGACGTAGCCCACTGACGAAAGTTAAAAGCCTCAGTTACCCTGATCAATATGTAGCTTTTGATTTGCATCAAAACTTTTACAAATGATGTTTTGCTATTCTGTTTCTATATACTTCAAGAATGTTCATTTTTACAAGTAAGCTGAAGACAGTTTAAGTTAGATGCACTAAAGCACTAGAAATATTGATAGCTGGTTCTCTACATTTAGCTTTCAAAACCAAATGAGCCATGTATAAACAGTCAAGAAACTTAATTTTTTAATGTTTCATTTGCAGTTTTATATCCATTAAGTGCCTTTGAAAGTTCCCAGTTGTGTGGGCTGCTGTCTCACCTCCCACAGACGATCTCCCTTCTATGTATGGTGCTAAAGCTCCAAAACTGAAGAGGGCTACAGGACCCTTAGCAGATTCAGAGTCTGTCACCCATGTCCTGTGTTTATGTCAAGGCTTTCTAAGTGAGAGACATCAGTTACCTGCTTGGGAAATAGTGGTTACAAGGAAGGCGAGCAGCAAAAGAATTTAAGTTCAGCAGGGGGTAGAATGGATTTTCATCATGTTAGTGCCAAACCTGCAAAAGCCAAACTAGAATTCAAATATAACTATGGCTACACAATAGAGGAGAGAAATTCCCCTGTATGTCCAAATGAATGAGCTCATTTGTCTTGCTAAATCTTAAAATGGTAGTGAGGCGATCGGAGGCTGCACCAGAGTAGGGTTGGCTAGACTACATTGATTTGCGTCAAGTGAACTCTACAGGTTAAATCCCCATTTTAAAAAGTCTGCAGCATTCCTAAGAAGTTTAAGGACTATTTGAAAATCATAATTACAAAACATAACAACCCGGCTTTGAAGCACCTCATTTAGTTGTATGATAGAATGTGACTTGGACAATATTAACTGGAATCATCCCGAAAGCCCCGCAGACACACTAGTAGCCAATTGTGGCTGTAAGAGGGGTTGACAGCACTCACTGAAAGGACAGTTGGAAAGGGAGCTCTGAGCACAGACACCACCTATTCCTTCCAGTCAGTGCACTAAAATTCTGGAACTTGAGTTCCTGGCTATTTGCAGTTGTCAGTTTAGAGGAAAGGTGAAATGAAGCATTTTCAATTAAAAAAAATAGATTAACATTTACCACAGAAGTGCTTCAGCATTCTAAACGGATTAGATTACTCATTAAGCTATTTTTTATATGCCAATTTATTAATGCCTTACATTAATCCACTAATAGGTTGTTGAGCCCACAGTAGAGTCCTAATTCTGTGTTCTGTATCCATGTGACTGGTGATGCCAAGTGGTAACCATGTCTGCCTATATTGTACTTCTGACCTTTCATACTGACCGGATGTTGCATTAAAATAACTGTGTGGACAATGAACCAATTAATGATATGTACAAGTATATTTAAAGAGCAATAGTGTCTGTGTGTCAAGACTTCTTAGGTCTTATTTGTAAACATTTATATAGAATAATTTTATGTATGTTCATAAATCCTGCACTGTATTCTACTATATGTGAAACTATTGGTGCATGAATTTATTTTCAATCAAAGTCTAAAAAGAAAAACATTTTGGTATATGTTAAATAAATAAATTTGATTACAGAAACATGTTGACTTTTTTTTCCTTGGCGGTACTGGGGGTTGAGCTCAGGACCTCATGCTTGTTAGGCAGTGCTCTTCCACTTGAGCTGCTCTGCCAGCCCTAGTTCCTTTGAACTTTGTTTTCAAAGAAACATAGCTACTCCATAAACTGAAAACCTTTTACCACTCACTGGTTGAAGCAGAGACTACCTTCTGTATGCGTTTAGTTTGGTTTCATGAAACTGCAGCAAACACATTTTTAAGTCTATAAGCTTTATTGATACTTGCTTTTACAGTTCACAATGCATTCCACAGATTTAGTTCAGTACAGCTTAAACCACAATGGTATAAGTCTTTGTTTTATGATTTCTTGCATAACAATGTTTGATATTTGCAAACAACATTTTTGGAAGCATTATATTCAGTCCATAGATTCAGAGTTTGTGACAAAATTAACTACTTGTAAGTCTTTGCAATGAAGGATTTCTATGTGCATGGCATTGCTTCATACTGAAAACAGATGGTAGTGCTCCTAGAAATAGATTTTCTTTTTCTAGCCTATGAACTTTGGAACTACACATGTATAACCAATGGCTGAAATGTCAAGCACTGTAGGGCAGCTGGAAGGTAAAGGTCTAAGCTTGGTGAAACACTATATATTTATATATATAATCTATATTTACTTATATTGGCAATTCATATAACAGTAAAATTCACAATACACCTAGAACATACCAGAAATGCAAGCTTTTCATTCCTGCTTTAATGGTATGATCTCGTCTAAACATTTCAGAAAATCTGCATTAACCTACACAGACCATACACAGTGCACAAACTGTGAAAAGGGATGTTTTTTTTTTCCAGCTCCACCTTCTCTGCAACGTCCCAAAATACAGCAAGACTACCTGCAACAAAATGTAATATACAGCTGTCTCAGATCACTTTTTATTCACCAGTGCCTCATACAGGAGAAACAAATATGATTACAACTTAAATCCATACATAGCAGCTTACAATACTTAAGATGATGAACACATGGCAGTCAATACAGGTAATTTTTCCTCAAGCAGTGCATTGCTGAAAATAAAGATCTGTGAAACTGCACTGCAATGTCAAGGCTCCATTCCTCCCTGACCCTCCCCCATGTAATCAAATGAGGACCTCTGAAAGATGAACTCCTACTGTTAACTGGGGCTTTTTCATTCAGCTTTGCGCTTCAATCCAGGGATTTTTGCTTGGATTCTACAAATGAAAAGGAAGAAGAAAAAAATCTGAATATTTTAAGGCTTTGTGCTTCTTAAAATATGCCATCTTTTACTTACCCAATCAAGTCCTAAAGCTGACAAACTACAAACTATAATGCTGCCACCTTTGCCTTACAAGTTAAACAGTGACTTAAAACAGCAAACCTAGGAATTAAGGATCCAAATGTTAGGGAAAAAATATTTTGCCAACGTAATTCACCCTTAGGGTCTGATTCAGATCTACTCATTATGCCTATAGTATGAAAACAGTGTTATCAAAATCCAGCACACCCCATCTATAGCTTTCTTTAAAAAGTTGCTGATTATACTTACTTGGCCATAGCATCTCTAACATTCTTATTTGCAAGTCCTAGGTAATGATCTATCTGTGCCTGAAAAAGAGAAAATAAGGGAGCTATTAAAAATTACAACTGCTAGAGACTCTTACTAAGCATTACTATTTGCCAACAAATTAGAGGCTTAAGGCCATTGATAATTCTCATTTATAAGAGATTTTGGAAACCAGCATTGCTACATTTGTAAATACATAGTAAGAGTGAGCTCTGTATTCTGAATCAGCAGTGAAGAAATTACCTGATGACGTTCATAAATAACAGGAACACTGAAGAGTGAAATCAGAGCTGAGAAAAGAAACAAACTTTGAAAAGACCGGTATGATGTAGGGAGTATCACTAACCTCTTAAACTGGCAACACTCAAGATAACTGGACAGTATTCCTAATCAATGAACTAATGTGCAAGGATCCTTGGGGGACCTGATACTGAGGAGGTACTTCAAAGGAATGAGAACTATGCCTAGCACTATATGCCTAGCTTCAAATCACGCCACACACATTTTATAAAATACAGGCATCTTCTGATTAGATTTATAACTGCATCATCAGGTAAGGCTACCCACTTTCTGGATTATCACCATTAGTTGGAGCAGTCTTTAGGAACTAAAGTAACATTTCAATAAACCAAGTATCAGCTATTTTAGGAGCTCACAACCTCAAACTTATTACCTCTATTGTTCGTACAACTTAAGAGTATCTCTACTAAAATGTCTCTAAGCTTATTGGTTGAGGAGGAGTCTAAACATAATCTTTGTTCTGTAATTTTTCATTCTAATGGTTTTGTAGACTTACCCAAAATCAGTAGTGTCAGACCATTGAACAAGGCACCAACATAGGTAAACACCCACATCAACACTGCAAACTGTAAACAAACAACAGCTTAAATAAGCAAAACTCAAGTCAAATTTGTCAAGCTTTCCAAAAAAGTATCCATTTCATGGATGGATGCCAATCTTTTATCCTAAAATATATACCTTTAAGACTGGGTAAAGTCATACAAATATTTCGCTTAGTCTAAGTCACCAAGTCTTTATTCAGAATTTCAGAATCCTTACAAAACCAGCAGAATTGATCTATATTCTTTGGACTACATAGTAGTTGATCCATCTTCTCTAGATGAGAAGCAGGCCAGCTTGAATAATCATTTAGTTCTAACATATTTAGCTTTGAAATGCAAAGACTGAAAAGGTATAATTAACTATCAAAATGATTTTAAAGTACTAAAAAAGTCCCTGAAGATAATACATGTGTATGTGTGGGATGTGTGTGTATTAAAGCTCAAAATTCAAACATTAAAATTTTAAGCATCTGGTGAGAAATAATGGGGCAGGCAATAGTTATCAGGAAAACTAGTTTCAGCTACCGAAAATATCACCCAGCTTTTTTTCTTTTTTGAGGGGCGGGGAGAGCAGAGGGGGTACTAGGGTTTGAACCCAGGGCTTCACACTTGCTAGGCAGATGCCCTACTGCCTGAGCCATTTCCCCAACGTGGACCTCCATCTTCCTATTTATACCCGGGAAGACAGGCACATGCCACCATGCCCAGCTTATTGGTTAAGACGAGAGTCTCACTAACTTTTTGCTTGGGCTTGCACTGAACATCAATTCTCCCAGATCTCTGTCTCCCGAGTAGCTGGAATTACAGATGTGAGCCACCACACCCAGCCTTCACTGCTCTCATTTTAAGGATCAGACACTGCCCAGTGATAGGTATTTCAGGACCATAGTAAGTTTGGGAAGGAGAACTCAAATTTTTATACCTATTAATAAAACTGACCATTTTTATTCTTAACTACTGCCTTCTTTATTTACTAATGCTAATATACTTATATGCTGGACACTACTTTAAGTGCTTTATAAATATAAACTCACCCCTCTTAACCTTATGAGAGAGGTGCAGGCACTGCAGCACGGAGAGGTTTTCAGCAAGTACAGGTTTCATTGTTTCCTCCAGGGGCTGAAGACTGCAATGAACTGACTAAACTCAGTACCACCTTCATTAACTACAGCTGGAATCAGCAAACATTTTGTAAAGAGCCAGATAATTACGTTTTACATTTATGAATCTCACAGAGTTGCTGTCTCACATTGTTCTTTGACATTATTGTTTTAAAAATGTAATCCACCATTCTTAACTTCCAGGAAGAAGGCTAAATAGGCAGTAGTTTCCTACCCTTGACCTAAAAGCGTATCTTCCTCCATAAATTCATTCATTCATTCAACAAAATCTGACAGAATGTCTTACTATGAGCTGGGTACTGAAATTAAGGTGTTCAAATTCTGTTAAGCACAGTTAACAGATTAAGAACACCCTTTGGATTCCTGCACCAACTATGAAGTAGCAACACTGATCACTCCTTTAGCTGAATTCAACTAATACTCAAATTAGAGAATGTCAGGCATTCTTAACACCTGTCAATTGAAAATAATAATTGTGAAAATGCTGCCCTGTGCTCAGCCATTGCTAAGAACCTCTACCAAATTTCTGGTAAAGGTCTGGAGGATGACTCTACTAGCAAGTCTTTTCCCTCTCATGTAGTTTTATAGACTCCTATTGCAGAGGCTAAATATAACTTATGCACTTCAGCAACTTTGTAACAAAGCTAAAGAGCTATTTTCATCCATCACAGTTCATAAGTCTAAAGGGAAAAGAGTCGACCTTCCACATTTTACAAGAAATTGTTTTAGCAATCAAGACACACAATGACAGAATTCAGAAGGTAGCACATACAAGCTAAAAATAAGTACCAGTTTGGTCATTACAGTCACTGACAAGGCTATACTCCAAATCAATAAGGACAGCAGTCAAAGACTCTACATCTAGGCCATCCAAAGGGTTCAAATAGTACCTGCCTCTTCAAGAACACTCTTCTTAGAAGCCATGCCATTCAGAGGCAGAGATCAGAGGGAAGCCTCAAATGTCCTTGGGGCCAGGAAAGTAATATAGATGTGTCATGAAGGCTGATGCCTGAGAACCAAGGCAACCAGACACACAAGCACCTGCAATCCAGGTTCACATACTGTGACAGCCGTGCCAATACTCTAAGTCAATGATGCCAAAACTTCCCATTTTACAAAGAAATCAGAAATTTGTTTTATATGCTATCACAGAAGTTTTAAGTGCTGTAGCTACATTTAGAGAAAAGTAACACTCCACGGGCCCAAAGAAAAAATACTGGGTAAGGGTTTCCAGAGAACAAAACATCAAAAGACAAAAGGGGGCTGGGCATCAGTGGCTCATGCCTGTAATCCTAACTACTCAGGAGGCAGAGATCAGGAGGATCGTAGTTTGAGGCCAGCCCAGGCAAATAAGTTTGCAAGAACCTATCTCAAAAAAGGGATAGTAAAGTGACTCAAGTGGTAGAGGGCCTACCTAGCAAGTATGAGACCCTGAGTTCAAACAGCAGTACTGCAAAAAACAAAAACAAAACGGGGGTGGGGGGAGACACACAGTAGGAATTAGCACTCTACCATTTACACAATTACTGGAACTATTATGTAACATCAAATAACTTTTTAACATTTACTGTAACAATTGCTGTGCTTTATAAAATGCATTGGTCAGTTAAATCTTATAATTAATCCTCAAAGTTAAACACTTGTTATTTCTATGGAAGAGACAACCAAGACAAAGATTAAGCCAGCTGCAAAGCCAGAGGTTAAAGTGATCTCAGGTGCATCTGACTCCAGAACCCATTCTGCTCTACAGTAAGCCACCTACAGAAAACCATCATTACTGGGAATCTAAAACAAATGTACATTAAAGTGCAGAGGAAAATTCAATAAGCACCATTTGTTACCATCACAAAAAAGTATTTGTAATTACAAATTCCATGCTATTTTACTGCAAATACTCTGTAACATTATAGTTAAATGCATATTAATTGTGGAACTCAAAACGCACTTCTCTTTTGGGTAGTCATGACACTAGAGGAAAGAGGCCCAAGTATAATGAAGACCTAAGAAATACTGAAAGAAAGTAGGATCATGTCTTGTTTGTTTTGCTTCCATGGAGATAAGGAAATTCTGTGTATCACACACCTGAGTAGGACTTCTGCAGAGTAATGATGTCTCAATTGAGAGCAGGAGGACAAATTTAAGAAAAATGGAGGCAGGATTGATAGTAGTTTCAGAAATTACTTTAGCAATTCTGCTAATTTCAAAACTCTTCATTCTTAAACACTGAAAATTATTTGACCTTTTTGTACACTTTGACTCAATTCATTAGTTAGCATTAATTTCACTACCTCTACATCTCTTCTAATTTTTCTGCTAAGAAACCTGACAGGAAACTGTCAAAATCTTACATTAACTGTGTAAGAGGCTGATGGCTAGATTTTAACATTCTTTTGGGTCATCTATTTCTGGAGCTCAGGCCTTTTTTGATTGCCTTCAGATTTAAGACTGTATCCTGGAACATTACAGTTGGGTATCAGGTAACTGTAGCTAGAAATTTTCTTAAAAACAATTTAAACAATTTTTCACCAGAAGTCATTCATGGAACTACTATCAAACAAAACCTAATCCTTATCACCCAAGACTGTATTACAGAATCATGGCCTGTGCTGAAAGAACCTAGTCTTAGTGCCCAATAAGGGAAATTATTAGACAACTTCTTGGGATTTGAGGTTTCAAAATGCAGGCTATTCTCATTCTCTTCTCTCCTCTCTCCTCTCTCCCTCTCTGGGGAAGTGTGTGTGTGGGGGTGTCTCAGGTTAGTCTCCAACTTGTGGGCTTCTTCCACCTTAGCCTCTCAAGGAGCTGGGATTATAGGCATGCATGCACTACCATGCCTGACTTGAGAGGCAGGAATTTTCTAATAAAGTTTGGAGCCTGGACTGGCCCCAAAGCTAAGCTCACTAGGGACTATCATACAGTTTGTTTGTTTACCCAAATTGGGAGTAGGAATAACTCAGGGTTTATAGCTTAATGCCAAACTTTCTGAAACAGTAATTCTTCAGGCAGTATCCACAAAAAATTAACTCCCACGCTGTCACCTTCCCAGCTACGAGTAGATTTTATAGTTCCTTGCTAATTCCAATGGGCAACCAAGACTGAAAACCACTGTTTAAAATGAGAGCCCTTATCAAAGAACCCTTAAACAGGCTGAGGCAGGAAAATCATGAATTCGAGTCCAGCCTGGGCAACCTACCAGGTCCCCATGTCTCAAAAAAGAAAAACAAATTAAAACAATAAAAACCTCCAAAACAAATCCTGAGAACTGGTGAAAATATTTACTTGCAGTGAATTTTTATACTATGAAGTGTCTGCGCTAAGTTTTACTGAATGGAATTATAAGTATTTGGTAGTGATTTTTGCCCATACTGTTTGACTAGGAAATGGATTTACTTATTTATTTTTGGTGGAACTGGGTTTAAACTCAGGAATCTCAAGCTTGCTAAGGCAAATGCTCTACCTGCTTAGCACCCGGCCCTTTCTGCTTTTAGCTATTTTTCAGATTGGGTCTCATGTTTTTCCCAGGCCAACCTGGACTGCAATCCTCCTAGTTGGAATGACATGTGTGTACCACCATGCCCAGCTTACTGGATTGAGATGGGGTCCTGCTAACTTTTCTCCCAGGCTGGCCACAAACCATGATCTTCCTGATCTCCTCCTCATGAGTAGATTATATAAACTTGAGGGCACCAAGGGATCTTGCTTTTATGAAGACAAGTGAAGTCTATAGAAACATATTTCAAATTTTTATTTAAAAGGTATTTCTTTATCTAAGTCACAGAGCTTGGTATATTGTCTATTTTCTCAATGATACATAATTTCCAATGCATTTTCTTAAAATTGGAATGGTTTCCATCCTACAATCAAAAGCTGATACTGTAAAATTTTTTAAAGCCTGGTGTTATTTAGACAAGATCACAAATTCACCTAGAAACTCAAAAGACTGGAGCTGTTTATCAGCAAAATTTCACAAGCTAAATAAATTATGTCTAAAATAAACCAGTAAGAGCACCTGCTTGCTCTTAAGTGAGAGAATGTAACTTCTCCTACCAGTTGCTATGGTTAAAAAAAGCAAAAAATCATACACAGTTTACTCTCAGGAAGAAAATTATTTGCTTTTAAATATTCTCCATATGACCAAAAGCTATGGGGATAAATATGGCCACATACAAAAGGCGAATGCACAGGAACTCTCTAGAAAGGGAATACTAGCAACTACACATAGGACTGTGTTATAGGTAACTAACTTTTTTTCTTAAAGATTAAGTTTTCTTTTGGTTAAAACACAAGTGGAAACTTCATACTCAAATTTATAAAAACTGGAATATAATAAATTGCTCCCTCATCAATTTATTTTACTTGCTTTTTAAGTAGATTTCTCCAGATGACTCTTCTCAAGAAAAATGTTAAATTCCAGACATATATCTGCATCCCTACTCTACTGTGCGAACGTGGAACTTTGGTTTGCCTCTGTTGCCATTTGTATTAAGTCTATAAAGATGACAAGAATCTTGCCTCTATCATGCTTCATGATGCCTTTGTTTGAAGTCACCTCTCCTTAAGCTTTTCACTGCTAAATTCACAGATAGCCCTTTGCTGTTTAAAGTTCTGTATCACTATTTCCAGATAATGTTTCTTCTCAATCAATTCCTACCCATAAACCCTCATTGCAAGCTACACCAGTACTTCCTTCTGAACAATCTTCCACCATGTTTTACGCCAGCAGTCAAGCTACATATAGCAACTGTTGCTTCAGAAAACAGGCACTGGTTTCTTCCCAGTCATGTGAACAATGTTCTATTGCACTAAACTCCAAAATATGCCTTATTTATTCTCTCTTAAAACTAAATCAAACCTGCTAAACAACATAATCATCTTCTTCTTCAGACTGACATCAGATCATTTCAAAATACTACTGCAGATTAAGTCACTAAATGCAACCATTCTACACAAAAGAGATAATATGTGATTAAAAAAAAACTTTAAAAAAGCTAAGTTACTTATCCTTGGTAATATTAGTTACTTAGATTCCATTTTTAAAATACAAAAAGCACTTAGCTGAAAATACTAACATGTCATCTTCTGGCTTAAAAAGGCTAAAAAAAATTTTTTTTAAAGCCCTGAAACCTATTCTGACCACTTCAGAAATTATTTTTCTGAGTTTTAAGCCTTGATCATCTATTGGTAGGATATTCATGGATTGCATGATAAATTGCAAACTACAATATTTCCTTTGGGGAAAAAAGATAATCAATACCACCATACTACATTTCTTCTCAGGCTTAGATTGGAAAGGAGTCTTATCAGAGTAACACAAGCACACAAAATACAAATGGCAAGTTCTATGTGAATGAAAAGCAGCACGGTTCCAGTGCTTGGGACTTAATGTTTGTTTCAAGTCAGTGAGAACTCTGGGAAAGTTTATTTGCAGGATGATACTGTAGCATATGCTATGTAGCAAGACCCAAAAGCTAATGAAAAATTTCTGTAACTACAAACCAAAGATCAGTCGAAGTGTTTAGAAAACTAAATATTTTCCAGAATACATACTCAAAAAAAGAGTCCAAGATATGAAATGCTTTATATGTGCGTGTGTATAAATCACATAAAAGCTAAGAAACTAAGAACTAGACACTAAGACAAGGTCAAACAGAATAAATCACATCTAGTATTATATGCATTAATCTTTATTCTTATAGTCAAAATTCCCTTTAATTTTCTCCCACCTTTAATTTTATGATTCCTAAAACTATGAATTTGTTATTTTCCTTTAAAAAGAAATAGTACTTTGTAGTACTTTGCTAAATATGATTGGATAGTGAATCTTTTTTTCTCACCACCCCCACCTCTGGATACTGAATTTTAAAGCATAAGTTTACAGTTATATGATTTCATTACATGTTTATCATTTATTTAAATATAGAAAAACAGAATTTCATGCTCAATTATTTTGATACTAAATTCTTTGTGTGTCAAAAAATGAAAAGCAAAATAAACTTACCTTCAGAGAATCAACTAAATCATCAACTAAAAAGAGGCGCCTGAGTTCTTTTATTGTGCAGTTCACATGACCAAGAGCAGAATTACTGTATTTCTGAACCAATTCCTCAGATATAGCAACTTCAGATTCCAAATAAGCCCTAGAGAACAAAATATATATATACTGACTGATTTATCCTCAAATGTCAATTTGTTTAAAAACAGAATAAAATTTACTACTATAAAAGCCTAATGTTTCTATATTAAGCACAATATAAAAATGCCCCAAGAAAGGAGTTTTTTACTGGTATGTTCGATTAGCTAACAAGCAAAAAGCATATGCTTTGAAGCCAGATTACTTGAGCTTGGATATAAGCTCTGTCACTTACTTTGCTGGGTAACTATACAAAGTTATTTAGTCTTTCCTTTTAAATCTCAGTTTCCTCATTTATAAAATGGAAATTATCATGAGGAGTCAATGTATAAAGATCTTAACACAAATGGTCAAAAGAATCACTTAACAAATGGTTTTCATTATGTATGGATGTGGGTTTTTCCTTAAAGTGAACATTATGCTGTCTCATCAAGTTACCTTACCAAAGACCCTATTTATTTTCTAAGCCTACACTCTCTCAGCTTAGCCTATATGGGAAACTGGCCCTAAGTGTTAAACACCAGACTATAAAGTGGCTGCTAAAAGCACAGTGGCAATCTTAGTAAAAATACCTATTGCCTATCTTGATGCCCTCTTTACTGAGGTACATGGAATTGTTAAATTAAAGAAGATAACAGGGAGCAAAGTCAAAGTCTACAGGAATACAAGGAACTATTTCATTAGCTTTTGTTTCAAAGAGTCACTTTATCTTGAAAAGCAGAATCAAATTACAAGTACTAAGTATCCTCTTCCATACCCAATCCCTCCTAATTCCTTCCCCACATTCTTGGACGCTACTTGCTGCTTCCACTGAAAATAACAGTCCTTTATCATGACTCCTTGTCCCATATTTTTATCTATGTAATATGCCCCAAGTATGTCTCCTTGTTTTCATTCATAGTGCCATCACTCTAGTTTGTGTCCATTACATACAAACTAAAAGATTCCATCAGAACCCAAACCTGACTCTCACCAATCTCTAGGCTAATCTATTCTATCAGCCAATGCCACATTAGCCTTCTTTGAGCTCTCACAGATAACACTACTTCCTAGCTAAATATTTAACCTTGCAAAAGGCATTTAACCTTCAGGTCAGGGTTCTAAGTCTATAAATTAGAGAAACAGACCTACCTGAATCCCTTCAGGTTCAAACATTCTGTAAGTCTATGGTTCCAGCTTTTTAACCAGAGAGACTTCCTAAGTCTTTCTAACCTTTCTTCCCACTAATATTGATGTTACAGTTAGAAATGAGTCTCTCCTCCCCCCCTTTATTGAGCAGTACTGGTGTTTAAACTCAGGGCCTCATGCCTGGTGAGCAGATGCTCTATTCAAATTACACCCATAGCCCTTTTAAATTTAGTTATTTTTCAGATAAAGTCTCCCTTTTCACCAGGGGACAGCCTCTGGACTGTGATTCTGCTGACCTCTGCCTCCTGAGAAGCTTCCTCAGGAGGCCTGGAAATGAGTCATTTACAAACCATTTTTTAACCTCAATGCCTCTTGGTCATCATGCTGTTTTCTCAATCCACAATGCTCTCTCCTCACCACTGGTGATGGTTTATCTGTTAGACTCATCTCAGATCCTTCTCACATAAAAGTCTCATCTATAGGATCTTGATGTAATCTCTCATTCCTATATACGCTGTATAATGCTTTCTTTTCTTTTTCTTATCAGTATCTACCATACCCAGCACTGAAATATAGACATGCATATACATGTATGTTTTTTCCCAGTAGAGATAAACTGTTCAGAATCAAGAATATACCTTTACTAGTAAAATGGGCTAGGATACCATTAAAATATTTATTAGTCAGTAAGAATTCAAATTTTAATATCAAGTTAAAACATTCAAGGACTCACATCAACTTTTAAACCAGAAATAATGTATTCATGTAGTTTTGAGAAATACAGAAAACTGGGTGGTGTTCTGCTTCTTTGTACCACTGCTGCTCGCTCTTACTAAAGACAAGATGCCTGACTAGAAAGCACAAGGACTCCAATGACATCCAATTAATGACATCTTATAAACATGTACATAATTTAGCTTGCATTTAGTGGTATTAATGCAATGCCAGCACTATTCATCATCCTTTCAAATGACCACAGGTGTTAGATATGAACTGTGTAATTTCACTGGGAACTAGGAAAAGCTGTCCAATAGGTTTAAGTTGGCATGTCAGCTGAACTTCTAACTATAAAAGACTTCTGAACTAGAAAAAAGTATTCCTATGAAGAAATGGCTGTTTTTTTTCAAAAAATCTTCTTTAAAACTAAATGGAGTGGGGGGGGGGAGGGAGGGGGCAGAGTGGTGGTAAGGGAGGGGGTGGGGACAGGGGGGAGAAATGACCCGAGCCTTGTATGCACATATGAATAATAATAAAAAAAAAACTAAATGGAGTATAAAACTTGTAGTAGATAATTTACAAGTTTTGGCATGACATCATTTTTATACATTTCATACTTTGTTAAATGATTTGTGATGTAACACAGCTCTACCTTTTTGAAGCTGCAATTTCAAGTTACTAAATTCAAAATGTTTCTCCCCTTTTGTAAAATGGAGTAATACCATCTATCTCATAGATATCATGAAATTAATTATGTACATAAAATTCCAGATGCATAATAGAAAACCCACTAAATGAATGAGCATTTTCATATTCCAATAAGACTTATAAAAGCAGGCAAGAAGAGCCATTCAATAGATGTTGCTCTTTCCTACAAAACTTGGGGAACATCATTAATTCATCAAAGAATATTTGGACTTTATCCTATAATGAACAGAGAGCTTTTATGCCTAAAAATATGATAAAAGGGGTAACTTAGAAGAACTAATCTGATAACATCTGTAAGAGGTGAAGCAATCTGAGGTAGCCAGAAGTCAATCTGTCAGCAACTGAAGTCCAAGCAGGAATAGGCAGATTTTTTCTGTACAGAGCCAGGTGGTATTTTAGGCTTTAAAGCCCATATGGGTCTCTGTCACAACTACTGAACTCTGCTATTACAGTATGAAAGCTGCTAAATGAATGGGCATTCTGATGTTCCAAAAAACTTTATTTATAAAAGCAGGCAGTAGACTGGATTTGGCCATGGCTGTAGTTTACAGACCCCTGTTTTAGACTGAGGGAGAAGCGGGAACAACTACATTTAGTTATCGGGTTTACAAGATGCAAAGACAGCATCAAAACCAGGGCCTGAATATTAAGGCAGTGGTGTTACTGAAATAAGCAAGTTTGAGGAAAAACATCATTTAAAGACACGATGAGTTAGGGGCTAGGTGGGGAGTCACTGCTAACAAGCATGAACGTTATTTTTGGTGTGATGAAAATGTTCTGGGGGCTGGCCAGGGTAGTGGTGGTGGTGTGTGGCATAAGTGGTAAACCACCTGGCTAGCAAGCATGAGGCCCTAAGTAATAATAATGAAAATGTTCTAGAATCAGATGGTGATGGTTCCACAACTCTGAATATACTAAAAACCACTGAATTTTATTGTGTGCAGGTTATATCTCAATTTAAAAAAAGGGGGAAATGTGGAGTATCATGTGAGGGCAGAAGATTCAAGTTGAGTGTTTCAATAGCAATTACATACATAATGCTAGCGTATGCTTGTGAAACTTCTGGCAAAAGATTAATAGCTGAGAAACCAAGGATACTGAAATAAGGCTCTCCAAAATAACAATCATGATGATGCTGTAATGCCTTGGGAAATAAGAAGCTAGATGAAGAAGTAATGGTAAGAAAAGACAGTCATGAAGAATAAACATACTGCTAGAAGATACACAGTATCAGATAGCGTTAACCCACCAGGGAGCAATAAAATCATAACCCTCATCAATTGTAACTATGTTAAAAGATAAAACTTAGATAACCTAACAAGTGTAAGAATTTAATATGATATGCAAATCCAGTCTTTTCCATCATAGGCCTTTCAAAAAGGAAAAAACCAAAAGCAGTGTTTACGACAGCTTTTTTTTTAAATTAAGCAAAAAACATGTAATGTAAAGAAAACACATGGCTGTTAATTATACAAATAGTAATAGAATGAAGTCTTAGTACCCATCCTGTTTACACTGTTGCCAATGTGTGCCTGTTTTCCAGACATCTCACCTGAATGGGTGGCCTTCATCTGATTTCTGGATAGCCTGGATCACACCCTTATATATCCTAAAGCTGATAGTCACAGAGAGCAGGGCCAAGGCAATGTAGGCTGTTACACTCACAATGCTGAATACTGTCAGTGAAAGCAGCAGGAATAAACTGGCACCAAACACCACTCCAGTCTTCTTAATGTCTCTCCAGTAGAGGAGGTCAACAACTAAAAATTGAAAAAGAAGTCATCTGGGTTAGAACACTATTTTATTCATTTGGACTTAGCACATTTACAGTTGCTCTACCTACAGAAGTCAAAAGGCCACTAAAGTAAAACCTAAGTCCAAAATGTTAAACACCAACTTTATAAGCTACACTTTAAGCCAACTCTAAGCTGTGAATTAGTATAATACCTACATGTATTTTTTACTTTTTACCATAAAATGTTTTTCATTCCAACTGATCTCCTGCATGACCAAATCATTCTGGCTACCTGAGACTATTAAATGTCTTAGGCCTGGCAAGACTTATAATCCAAAATAAGAGGTTACTTAAAATCATCTTGAGGGTTTTCTTCTTTATACCACATATGACATATAGGAAAAATTGTAATACTAAAATGAGATACTTCAGTGAGAAAAAAAGTACAAGTCACTAATTCAAACAAATGTTGGGAAAATTGAAATTTTATTTAAAAACTATACATCTGAGATTTATAGCTCTGCTTCTAAGAGCTAAAAAACTTAAAATGATAACTTAGCCCCACTATACATAACAAAAGTTTCCTACAGAGCAAAAGAAAGAAGGGAAATAGACATCTGAAAAGCTACTTTACTCCAGGAGTAGAAAAATATGTAACAAAAACTTAGGGGTCAAAGAAAAACTACATATGTTATATTGTTATGTAACATTTATTAATAGTAAAGAATCAGACAAAGCCTAACTTAGCAAGTCAGCTCTTGACCCATGGTCACAGGGTCAGTGTGAAGATCAAATATTCACAGGCCTATGGTCTTAAGATCAGGTTATGATCACCTCAAGTAGAGCTCCACGGTGTGCCAAAGGGCTATTTGACTGTCAGGCTAGATGTAATTCATCTGTCTCTGGATTATAAATAATTGGGAAGAAGAAATTATTCCATAGTAAAATATATGGATATACTTGGGAGAATTTTAAACATTTAAGATAAAGGAGATGGCATTAAAAACACTACATTTTGGGGAACTGCGGAGCTTTTTATCCCTAGTTCTCCTGAGTATATGTGACTTCCTTTTACTGTCAGGCACTTTTTGTCAAAAAACTATGTATGTGAATGGTAAAATGCTAGATATTATTACAGCCCCTAATTTGTGTTAGTATATATGATACTAAGATATTTTATGAGGCTGGTGGTGTAGCTCAGTGGCAGAGTGTGTAGCTAGCATAAGCAATGTCTTGGATTCCATCTCCTGTGCACTCCCCAACTAAAAACAAATATTTTGTGTCCATTACTGTGTCTACCACAGAGTTAAATTCTAGTAGAATTTAACAGGTTTTTATTCTGTTCTCAAAACTCAATCTAGTAGAATGAAAATCTGAAAATGGGAGGCTAGGCACAGTGGTTCACACTTATAATTCCAGTTACTTGGGAGGCAGAGATCAGGGAGATTGCAGTTCAAGACCATCCCAGGCAAAAAGTTAGCGAGGCTCCCATTTTAATCAATAAGCTGGATATAGGGGCACAAGTAGGAGAATTGTGGTCTAGGCTGGCCCTTGGTGAAAAATAAGACCTTGTCTGAAAAATAACTAAAGCAAAAAGGGCTGGGGAGGGGCATGGCACAAGTGGTAGAGCACCTGTCTATCAAGTGCAAGGTCCTAAGTTCAAACCCCAGTACTGCTAGAAAGAAAGAAAAAAAAAACAACTCTGAAATGGACTTTTCTTTAAGGCTCCACCAGCTCTAACCACTACAATCCTAGGGAAAATATCTTTAAGCATACATATAAAAACAAAGTTAATAAGGGTATGAGAGTAAATATTGCACTGTAATGAGAACTTGGGAATAGAAGAAAATTGGAAGATTAAAAAGACCACAAAATAAACAGCAACTGAGTTGGTCTTTAAAAATGAGCAGGATCAAGAAAACCTAAAGGTACAGGATTATGTCTTTTTTGTAATCAATGTTTCCAATAACTAATGTCATTTTTTCCTAGCACAATAAAGAGAGTAGGAAAGTGATGATAAAGACAGACCTTGGTAAGATTCTTTTTCTGTCAGTGGTTTATACTGTTTTTGTTATTGTTATTTCTTGCAATGCTGGGGATTGAACCTAGGGCCTTGTGCATGTGAGGTAAATGCTCTATTACTTAGCTACATTCTTAACCCTCCCGTGAATGGTTTACATTAGAGGAAGAACTTAGGCACTAGAATTCAATATCCTAGATTACAACAGCTCTACAAATTACTAGCTATGTAACTTCAGGACAATTCACTAAACCCCTCTACTCTTCACCTTTAAAATGTGCAAAAAAATAGGGATGAGCTCACTGAATGGGATTTATTGAGATAAGTAAGATTTTCCATTAATAAGTAATATGAAACACAACATAGCACGTAGCATATAGCAAATTCTTAGTATCAGGGCTGTTATTTGTTATTGATATTATTGTTAATATTACCATGCTCACTATCACATTACATTTCTCATCCAGGTATTTAAATAGTAAACATATAAAGAAGAAAAAAACTTTTAGCTTTATGATTAAATAGAAACAAAATAATATACATTGCTGTTACACTGTGAACATGTTACTTTCTAAACTACAGAGAAAAAAAGGATTTTAAAACTAAGTTTTCACTATTATAGGGCATATAAAAGTTGACAGCATAAAAGAATCAGCAGGCAAATCATCTTAAATCCATTTTTTTAAGAAGTCAAAGATGTAAGGAAAGAATGTAGGCGGGTGAATATGGTGGGTGAAACCATTTCAGGAATGGGGGAAGTGAGGGAATGGAAAATGATAGAGGGGGTAGATTCCACTATGATACACTGTAAGAACTTTAGTCAATGTCACAATGTACCCACAGTACAACAATTAAAAAAAATTTTTTAAAGGAAATCAAGTCCATTTTTTTTTTATAAAGATAGATTACAGAATTTACTTTTCCTGGCCACTGGGGTTTCAACCCAGGGAAGCAAAGTGTTCTACAGCTTGAGCTATATCCCTAGCACATTTTTTTTTGGCAGTATAGGGATTTGAACTCCAGGTCTGATGCTTACTAGGCAAGTGCTCTACCACCTGAGCCACTCCACCAGCCCCAAATCCATTTTTATATGAACAAATGCTACTTCATAAAAATGTCTGGTTCTCAAAGTGCTCAAAAGCATTTTATCATCAAAAAATCACTGTTGGTGAGAAGCTAAAATAAATGTAGATGTACTCACTATTCCCTAGCTTATTAAAAGCCACTGATTATAAAATGAATGACTTGTGAGGTATATAATACTGTACCATAAATCAAGTCTAACCAAAGACTATTTGAAGAAATTTAATGACTAGATAACATTTATAAGTAATCTATACGTTTTCTGTAAATGAATATAGTAAAAAGAAAATATCAGGTCTGAGATTCAAGACACCCACCTTTTAGTACTGGTTCTACAGTTGTGATTAATAAAGGACATTAGTCATATATAGTTTCTCTTTTTCCTTCAGAAGCTACCGTGACTCACATTTAGTACAAAAATATACATGAGTCCTATATTCAAATTTCCATCAGTGTATCCAAATCAATGAGGCCTTACTACTGGCATTAATCTTGCCAAATATAATTTTAAAACATTCCCTTTCCTCTTTAAATCTAGAGTTTGGGATACAGGAAACTTAAATATTTTTATTCATACCAGTCTTTTAAACTGAGACACATTTTTAAAGTGCCACACATCATTAAAACTTCAGGAAAACAATACATAATCCTGCAATTTTTAAGTAATTATAAACTACACTGTTATAGTAACTGTATGAGAGGAGTTTTAAAAAATGCTGGAAAAGCTTCTTAAATCTGATGGATGTTTTGGAATAGCATCCATCCAAACTTTGATCCAAACTCTCCAATCTCCACACCTTCATTTCCTGCATCAGTATTTACTGGTTAGTTAACATTATGTCAAACCATTACTGTTAGCCCATTCGTTTCACTATTTGTTTCAATCATTAAAACCCAATGAAAATAAAGCTTTCAAAAAGTGAAACTCTGCTCTTACATGACTGGACCAGACCACGTAAGTGGCAGAACATGAATATGAACCTAGTCTTCCTGTTGATAAAACTCACATTCTCTATTCATGATTATCAAACTGAAGACCCAGCACATTAAAGTTCTTCAAAATGTTACATGTTTGTATGCCTAATGATTAGGCAGAAGGTAGGCAGATAATTATTATACATGAAATCAATCACAAGGACTAAGAAGAAAGTATAAGTGCAATTCCTAAGATAGGCTAATAAGAGACACAAATTTTAATGTGACTATTCTGTACTGCTGTAAGATGCAAAAAAAAAAAAAAAAAAAGGGGGGGGGGCTCTTCCCCCAATACAGGTACTTTCCTGTAGCAGAATAATTAATCAAGTTGTTGCAAATGTCTTCTAAGAGCCATGTGAATGGAGTTAAATAAAATTAGGGTGCATCTAATGAAAACACTTATTTAGCTATTAAAGAAATTATAGAGATCTATATTATCCTAAAAATGTCTATAATGTTATATGAAAACAGAGTATTACAAAAAAAGACTCATAGTTCCACTTAAAACATGTCTAACTATGAGCTGTGAAAAGGTATCTATTAAACAATGCTTTTTCTTCTGGGTAGTGGGATTATGGATGAGTTTTACTTCTTCATTCTTTTCTGTGCTATCTGAAATTGCCCCATTCTAACAGCAAGCATGAATTACAACTATAATCAGAAGTTCACCTTCTTCAATCCCTACTCAAAAACCACTAAAAATACCTGTAGCATGACTGTCTCCCACCCACCATGCAGGCTTTCTTACTGTAAAGAGAATGCACTTTCAGCTAGCTTAATAAAATTTGGACACAGTTAAAATTTTAAGTCTCTAAGTTGAAAATTTGGGTGTTTGATGTTGAATTAAGTCAACTTCCTCAAAGCTTATGATAGTGGTATAATTATGTATAATCCCTAACCTTCTACACCTCCTTTCCCCGTTACATGTTTCTTAGCAATAAGGTCTT